ACTAATGTTCTATTTTCGTATGACAAGGTTTTTGCAAGTAGGTGTACGTCCTTTCTAAAGAAAAACATAAGAATCCTAACTTTTTCAATTAATAAACTTCATTGATGAAGAATATGAAATAAACATATATTTAAAAAAAAGATCTAATGGAAGGAAGAAGAAGGAAAAAAGTATATTAATACGGTGGGAATCGAACCCACGTCCACCAACTTTAATTATATATATGTAATTAATTCTAAAACATAGAAGAAAAAATACTAGTGCCTTCGTGCCATACCCCGAGACATCCGCTGGGTCATCGTATGGACTTCGGACATGACGGCAATTAAGTCCCTCTGCCCTTGGGTGTACGGATTACGCAGGATAGTGTTCTAGCCGAAGCATCAGGGGAGAGACTAGCCGGCCCCCAGACCATATCTACAGCTAATCCCTTGCACTCTGCCATGCACTGGCACGTTGATTTCAAGTGGAAAATAATCTTGTCTATCTGGTGCTTTGTTTTCATGGCTATTGTTGTGCTAATTTCCTGAAATCGTGGCCCAATGGAAAATACTTGGGCTTACAAGACACTGAGTCAAGCACGTTTGAGTGAGATTAGTACTTGGATGGGTGATCTGAAATTTATAGTTTCCCAACACGGTTTTTGAAATCCTTTTTTTTAAAGGTTTTCTAGTTAAGATACTCGAATAGATATAGACCTTATAAATGTTGTGTTTTCTTTTGCACTTTTAATCTGCCATAGTGTAACCAATTCCCGTCTACTCATTGCTTTGTTTTTGTTTCAAGACGTGTTCGTGTTGGTGGGGAAATAGTTATGCGTATTTAATCAAACAATCACTTCTCTAAGTATCTAATTACAACTGCGTAAGCTAATATTGTAACAGTTTTGTTTCTGACGGTTTTGATATTTTAATTTTCGTTCACTTGGCGTTTTGAGTCTTCATGGAAATTTATGTTCAACTTGAAGTGCACCTAACCCTGATATAATACTTTCAGTATTGATTCTACATAAAGTGAGTAGTTGAATGGTGAAATATTTCTCAGTTATTTGAGCTGCATTATGTTACTGACTGTGACGTCACCCCAGGCTTTTGAGTTTTAATTTGTTTTGATTTTGAATTCTAAACACTAGCCATTATAAGACATCAAATTTACGATAAACATTGTGGAAACCTTGAGTATAATGTTATGCATTTTAAATAATTTGAATACTTAATGAAGACAGTCAGTAACATATCTTTGGAAGTATAAGCCTTTAACTTTGCTTTGCAGGCTTCATGACCTAAAAAACACAACTTCTTGACGAAAATTATTTTTCGACTTCATTCAGTTGAAAAATGCATTTTCTTGCAAGAAAAATTGCTATTAATTCGCCAGGAAGATGAAAAATATGGCATGTTTTGTGGTCATGAAGCTGGTGAAACAAGAATTAATGCTTCGTAGGTCTTCACATCGTATCACAAAAGAAACAACAACAACAACTTTATTCTCATTTCAATAATAATGTTACAATTATAATTGCTTAACCGCTGTTAGCATAAAAAACTATTCGAGGCGGTAGCAATTTGAGAAAAACAAAATTAACATAGCTTAATTAATAGAGAAAAGAATTGTAAAAAAGAATGAAACGAAACAAAAGAAAAGGGACAAATTAAAGGGACAAACTTTCGAGAGGTATATATATCTTATGTAATATTATATATACATACACTCGATTGCAGAAACGTTGTAGTATGAATTTTAGACTAGGAAAACATTCTTTAAGCTTCTTGGCGAGTTACTGTGATTCCCAGTCGCAAACGAAAAATTTAGTTTTGGTGCACGTCAATCAAGCGTTTGAAATTAGAAGTCCGAATCTTTAGATATGTTTAAGAAACCCTTTTGATTGACGTCTACCAAAACTCAAATTTTCGTTTGTGATTTAGGTCTCATTTGGTCGCGTGTGACTGAGAATGTTATTGCAGTAATAGCAAATATCTACTTTAGACATCTACTAAAAAAAAATTTTTTTTGCAAGAAAAAAGGAATTTTATCGTTATTTTGTGCGCTAACTTATCTTTAATCACCAAAAAGCTACCCGAATCTGTCATCTTCGTTTACATTCTCACATTTAGATAAAATCCTGTAGAATGCCAGTGACAATGACGGATCGATTTGATCTCATGACCTTTTAGTACAAGTCGCGTTTCACTAATTACGTATACCCTTTCCTTCATTAACTATTTCTTTCTCTCACAACTCCAGTTTTAGGCATCGTCTTTGCCGAACTGTGATGGCAGTGGAGCAGTTGCACGCTATTTCAAATGTCCATGGTAAATATGTGTCAAAATCTTAATCAATGTTTAAGGAACTGTAAAATGAGTGCAAAAAGGCAGAGGGAAGATCATCACCCGTTTTAAAGGCCGACTCTAGCCCACCCCCTCTACCACTTCCCTCAACCTTGCATCCTTAGTTTGATTAATTCATTTTATTTAGTTTCACCTTTTGTACTTCCCCAACTCTCGGTACATAATCGTGAAACAAGTGAAACAAGTACACAGAATGTATTTTCAGCTGTCTAGATCCCTGTATCAACTACGTGGTACAGCTGTATTAGTAGCGATGCTCACAATCCGACAAATGTTGACAAGGTTTACGAAACATGACTCGCTCAGTTGAATCAGGTRTTCCACTTTCTGGATGCGAATTGAATAGATGTATTTACCTTTCTATTTTGTACATTTGATGTTTTTTAAAGTCATGTTTTCAATAAAAAAGAAGTTCCAAAGGTTATGAGTGCGTCTAACCAGCAGTGTCACCGATTCTATGTTTTTCTATTTGCTTGTATTCTTAGGTGTGATGACAGTGTTTGTAAGGTAAAAATCAGCTGTACCATTAAATACCTTTATATTCTGAAACCCAAAAACATCAAACCATACATAGCTTTAACTGATTATGAAGATGAATTGGTTTGTAGCTCTTTTATTTTTTGTTGGCATATCGTTGGTTTATTCCCGTAAGTTTATGGCATGTATACAGAGAGTCGTACTGTGAATACTGCAGCATGAAGTTAATGGATTGTGATTCAAATTGCAATTGGTTGTGAGAAACTAAATTCACATCATATATTGAAGTTAAAAATATTTTAAACTCGCATTTTTATTCTTGATAAATCTTCATACCAGTTTCATGTGCCAACTCTTGTGCCAATACTTCGGTTTGATACTTGAAGATATAAACAGCTAAAAACTAGTGTGAGCTGCGTCGGTGTTTCTAATGAAACAGTAATGATGAAAAGGTAAATTAGACACCGTGAAAAGATGAAAAAACTTACTGACTAGCGTCCGAAACGTCAGTTTTTTCATCTTTTCACGGTGTCTAATTTACCTTTTCATCATTACTAGTTCGATACTTGCTTTACTCCTATAATCGATATCGTATTCAACCCGCTAATGTGCTACCTACTAGTAACTGTAGAATATTTCATATTCATAGAAAACCATTAGGAATAGGAAAAAATATCTTTATAATGCATCAGATCATTTGTCCTTACCCTAATATGAATCTTATGGTCCAGCAACTATAGATTCTATTCAGGAGACATTGTGTATGTTGTTTAACAGAGTGTGGACGTCGTCCTGTCGGTAGCCGTGTCATTAATGGACAAGACGCTACCCCGCATTCTTGGCCATGGCAAATCTCTCTTCGAGTCTATGGAGGGCATACTTGTGGAGGATCTTTGATTAGCCCTGAATGGGTAGTCACCGCTGCCCATTGTGTTCACAGGAATCCTTCTCCAAGTCGCTACACAGTTGTTGTAGGTAAGAAAGTTATATAGACAGCTAAAGTTTAACAATCGTTCTTTAATTTACCGAATTATGCATCAATTATTCGCCGAACTGAAGGCAGAGCGAATACTGGTTGTTATTTACTGCGGAGTCACGAGTTTTGAGCAGGGAGGTAATTATTCCCCATGTTCACTGAACCTAAGGTGAATAATTTTTTGGGTATAATTTTGCACTTGAATATAAGAGAAAATGCGAAATTTAGGGAGGGGGGAGCTTATAAATTTATTCCCGCTCTGGTAAACTTTGGGAAACATCATAATCACCGCTCAAGCAGAGAATGTAGTCTCATAATCATTGGCCACTTGACCAATCAAAGCAGGCGAAACTCTATATTCAAGTCTAAAATTATGCTAAAACGCTTTATTACGATATATACTTGATTGTGACTGTGATTATCATTATGAATTGGATTGTGATTTCGATGGTGATGGTGATACTGTTATCTGTAACTGCTAAATGTTTTTTAGGCGCGCATCGCCGAAAAGGAAAAACAAGTGTTCAACAGACTGCACGTGTTTCAAAGATTATTGAGCATCCCAAGTATGCAAGCAGACCAACAAGAAACGACATCGCATTATTAAAACTTTCGCGACCAGTCAGAATGAGCGACAAGGTTGCATCTGTTTGCTTGACAGAAGCCAAACCTCCACCAGGAACAAAATGTTATATAACAGGTAAATATAAATTATTCAACGTTTAAGTTGAAGCTGGACATACATTTAGAATTCCTGTCTGTCGATAATCTACTCGTCGACAAATTTTGTTTAAAACTTACCAAACGGGGTTAAACCTTTTTGTTTAAGAGATAAAGCAGTTTAGTGAAATACAAAGCTAGTTTTTCTGATATTACACTTACTTGCAAGAACGTTGTCATACGAAAATAGAACATTAGTGATTTAGTGGGATAGGAATTATATTAAAAAACAAAAGAAGATCACTGAAGCTGAACTCTTTTGTCTTTTAATATACTCCTTTCTCACTAAATCACTAATGTTCTAATATCGTATGACAACGTTCTTGCAATAAGTAGGTGTACGTCCATTAAAGCATTTGAAAAGCATACATTTTATTTTTATTTCTAACACACCAGGCTGCAAGGTATAAAATTAAATAACCTGACTCTTGTAGCCTTAATTAAAAATTTTGTATTCAACGGTAAGCGATGCATTGAATGTTGAAAATTTAGTAATTTATTGTTCATTTCTAAATGAAAAAAAAAAAAAAAAAAAAAAAAAAAAAAAAAAAATGGTAATTTTACCAATTTATAACAAAATTACTTTGTTTGTGAAAAGGATGGGGTGCTATCAGAGGTGGTGGACCTTCGCCAGATATTCTTCAACAAGCTATGCTACCCATTGCTTCCCATGACAATTGCAAAAAGAAGTATTATGGAGTCAATTCCTTTTCCCATCTTTGTGCTGGAGAGGCTCGTGCAGGAGCATCTGGTGGATGTAATGGTGACAGCGGCGGACCATTGGTATGCGAGGATAGAGGGTCTTGGTTCCTGCACGGCGCTGTGAGCTTTGGGTTGATGAACTGCCCAACAACACATTATACTGTGTTCGCACGCGTGTCGAGTTTTGTACCGTGGATAAAACAAAACACTGGTATGGAAGCTATGAATGAAAACCTCAAGAGGTTTTTTTACTAGTTGCCATGGCTTAATATTGAGTTTGTCTGTCGTCTTATAGGTATTGGAGCGAGTGGTGGTGGGGTTAATCCGCCGTCCCCGCCACCACCACCAACTCCGACTCAAGGGCCTCCACCACCTCCCACTACTCAGTCACCTCCATCACCACCATTACCACCCACGCAGGCACCACTACCCCCGACGTCAACTCCCTCAGGAAGTAAGTGAGCTCGATGCACCTATAAGTTTTGACAAGAGAAAATGAACTAAGAAAAGGAATCTCTGGTATTCATGCTTATAACCACCGTTTATGCTATTTTTACATTAGCCATCGTTTGTTTTTCTGCACGCACATACTGGCACGCTCTACGCTGTTTAATTGCTTACCCCGTTTTGGGAAAACAAAGAAAATCAAGAGCAAACTGGGTTTAGCGCGTGCAGTACGCGCGTGCAGAAAAACCAACAATCAAATGAATGATTTTTAAAATAGCATCAATGATTTTTAAAATAACATCAAAGCTCCTTAATAGCACCAAATAGTGCTCAGGGTGGGGCACGGGGATTCCTTCCTTTAGTTCATATTCTTTTGGTTTGGATGAATTTCAACCTTTGCGTATGCTTCGCTGCTTGATATGAAAATCATGTTTAAATTTTAGATTGTAAAGACAAGGCTTACAACTGCAAAGACTTGAAGAAGTATTGTAATGAAGATAATATAAGAAACAAATGGTGTCAAAAAACTTGTGGGGCTTGTAAGTAAAAATATATTATTGATGTTCAGATTATGCAACTCTGAGGGAATACTCGTCTACATCCTAACACCAAAGCTGTTTATTAAAAAAACTGAAGAAGAACAGAAAGTTACTTTTGAAATGGAACATGTACCGCGTATAATTTTGTTAATAGCAACGCTGTCGCTGCAAAAGTTGTTTCTAAAAAGACCCTTTCACTACGTTTGGTGTACATTTTGTTGCATAATACATACCAAAGGATTTCATTGTGGATCATAAGTACAACATGTTTTGACGGCTAGGTGAGGAAATTTGTGGTAAATAAGAGGACACCACGGAAAACTGGAGGAAATTGTTTTTTTTTTTTTTTTTTTTTAACMAMARAAAAWAAAMAATTTTAATATGAAAAAAACGAGCTTCAAGCGGCTTCAAGCGAGCGCGTGATTTGCTGAAGTAATTTATTGGTATATTTATTTGGTTTATTTTATTTTGCTTGTCTCTTAAATAATGCACGATGCAACATACATTACGACCAAAATCATCGATTTTTTTGTCCTCTAATTTCAACTTACGATGCAAATATTTTATCACTTGCTTTTTATATAGCAATAAGAAACTATTTATGAAAATGAAAGCGCAAATTTTAATACAGCTTTCTTTTATTCTTCTTCTTAATAGGTGATCAAGGTACGTGGATATAACATTTGACATATATATTTGTATATGACAATTCAAAATTTCAATAGTGCAGTAAATGTAACTGGGTGTGTGTGTGGCCTTTCGCAGGATATTGTAGTAATACAATGATCACCTTGAAACCCCTTTGTTTCATCAAGAGGGACGTTTATTGACGAAAATCCCTCATTATGAATAGAGTGAGGGAATAATTAAAACTAAATTTCCATCAATGAAACATGAAGAACATTTAGTTCTAAATGATTCAGTAACGAGGGAGATTTAGAACTTAATCTCAATAATGAATAATTAATGAGGGATATTTAGTTTAATCTCCCCCATTCAATTAATCCCTCAACTTTCATCAATCGTTGCTACTAGAGACAGATCCAGTCTCTTACACATGTGGGATTCATTAATCGATCTTTGCTCATGAACCTTTACAAGAGTAAGTTCCAGACTATATCAAGACACGTGGGACCATTTATCAATCTTTGCACATGATTTAATGTCGCTTAGACTCGGGAACCTTAGTTAAAGTCCACTAAATTTACCCAGGTTCGGGGACATTTATTAGTCACTAATATCCCTAATATAATAAATAATGATCCTGCATTAATTGCAAAGCTTCAGAATACCTTTTGGAATACCTTAAAAATGCACAGATAATACTCTTCAAAAAAAAAAACTACATCTTAAACCCCTTTTGGATGTCCTCTTTTGCGAAATCTGATAGTTTTAAACAAAACATCTTAAGGGGATAACGAGTCAAGTTATCTTAGAGATGGAATAGATAGTGTGCATGCTTGGGAATAATGTGGCTAATTGGAATTTTCTCTCTCGTATATTTTTCCTTATTCACTTTTTCATAGTCTATTTTGGTTTTTGAAGAAAAGAGTTTTCAATACTTTTTCATTAAACTTATGTAACCATCACATTATTTTTTTCCAGATTGCAAAGACAAAGCATCAAATTGTCAGAGTTTGCAGAAGTATTGTGATAGAAGCCCCACCAAGGACGTCTGGTGTCGCAAAACTTGTGGAACATGTATGATAGTATTATCCTGTTTTCCCACTTATTTAAAGTGATGTCCCTGAGATTAAATTGTAGTTTTCCTTGTAATTCTGGGCCCAGATGCACGAAGGGTGGACAACACTATCCGACGGATAAATCTTATGTAGGGGATAAATTTATTGCATAACAACATCACCTTATCCACTGGATAAGGGTTTATTGTTGGACAATGCTACCAACCCTTCGAAAACCGGGCCCTGACAGAACTTTATCGGACGTGCTATTCTTCTTTTCAGTCCTCTTATTTATTAATTAAATTAATTAATTTTCTTTTGTTTTTAGGCTAATTTGAAGTCAACTAATTATTTCAGAAGTAAACACGTCACTATTGAATTGAGGAAATCAGTGACCCCCATTGCGCATTTTAATTTGAGTTTATGAAATCTGATGAAGGGATCTTCTTTTCTTAATATGAAATGCTTGTTTTGTTTTGTGTTATATCATTTAATGAGTTGAAATTGAAGGACAAAAAAAGAGAATTAAAACTTTTTTAATTGTCAAGAATAAAGTATTGTTGTTTGTATTGTGTTAGACCGCGAAGTGCATCGATTAACGCCTACTTTAATCGATGTACTTATCCTCCTAATAGAAAAGAAAAGAAAAGAAGGAAAAAATAAATGAAAAAGGAAGGGCAAAATAGAAAAACGTGATCAATGTACGCCATTAAACGCATAAGTACTCCCTAAAGGTTTTCAATGTCCACTACTTGCAAACGCAGCTCAGAAACCCTGGTTTGCCCATTCAGCGGAACAATATGCATACTATATCACGGAACGGCTGTTACATTTCATGCTCATTAACCTCAAGGAATTACAAAGAAGAAGGAAAAATTCGTACTTTCCACTCTCGATCGCAATCACGAAAAGCGTCAAGAAAAAATGTAATAGATAATACTGTGTCAAAATGGCGTCCTTTTGTATGGAAAGTACGACAACAATGCCTTGAAGAAACGCCATAGTATGTCTTCGTAAATGCCCTTCTGAAAAATGTAGCACAGGAAATTTGATGTACATTCACTGCCTTAAATGAATCCTGCATTTGTTTCTTTCGGCTTTAAATGKGATATGCGATTTTTGAAGTATTTGTTCAGTCACTAGAGAGTTTTAGATTTACTTTCACGGCAAACGTGAAACGTCAGTTGGCCAGTAAAAAAATCTTTTAAATTACTGAAAAAGAATCGCAAAAAAGTTCAAGTAGTAGGAAGAGAGAAGAGTATTTGCGCTTGGTGAGAAGGTTTGTAAAAGGTAAAGTAAAATACAGGAAAACTATGAAAACGTTGTCACGTTTGCCGTTTGCGGGGAGGAAAAAAGTCAATCTAAAACTCTCTACTGTGGAGGCTGGTTTTGAGAAGAGAAGCCCAGAATCGCTCGAGAATTGCGTCAAATTTACAATCGTTCTTCATTCTTCGTCTGCCATATCGAGTAGCCAGGTTCCTCGTTGGATTGGAAACAACTCTTTTAGTCACCAGTTTCTATTGAAGACGCACTTTTTTAAACCAAGCGAACTCCGTTTTGAAGTTTGGAGTCGAGGAAGGAAACCGCGCGAGGCCTGGGACCAAAATTGTTCGCGGGAAATTCCTTTTGTGCAGGTTATCTTATCTTTCTGTCATTATAACAAGGTCCCTCTTGTTCTATTTTAATTACGAAAAACTTTTTTTAAATACAAGTAAAACCTGCATAAAGACAATGAAAACTAACCAAGGATAATGAATTTGGAGCTGAACAATGCCCTGCAAACGAAATAAAAGCCCTAACTCAGAATGCGACTTGCAACATCAAGAAATCGCCCTTGCTTTTACGAGGGGCTACCACAGGTATCCCAGTAAACTGTTTTGAAAATTCTTAAATTGTACTCGCGTAATTCAAGCTCGTGCATTTACAAACACTTTTYTTTAATCACTCGCAGTAACTATTAACTACGAATTTAATTCTTATTTGCAATTCAATGTATGATTTACGCTTCCTGATGGGCTCAACGTGAAAAACTTGATTAACGGTGACCGAACTTATTATGAGTAATTTTTTAGGTTCAGGTTTTCCTTAACTACTATATGGCCAAACAATGTCTAGGCGCTGAAATTTTTCAGTTTCAATAATACTGACGATCATAATTCGAAAATTTCAATACATCTCGGCACGCCATAAGAATCACAACACACAGTGACTGGGAGATTCGGGATTTATTCGAGTCACTTTAAGGATAACAACTTTTAAAGGTATATTTACATACAAGGGCAAAGAGCAGCCCCACAATTTTGGTCCGCGAGACATCCGACATCCGTGAGTCAAAAAATCAATGGCGGACGAAAATAAACCGTAAAATTTTGACACTTTCTTTTCGAATATCAGAAAGATATTTCAGTGAGTGGTTCTTAATGTATTCACGCTTATTTCTGCAAAGTCCCAGCTCGAATGAGTCCAAGTGTCCCTTTAACCTGAACAGAAACATTACACCATGCATGTGCACTCCCAAGCGATTCAAAATATTCCCTCGCGCTCCACTAACTAACATCTTCTAAGGCTTTACAAAAATCAAATTTGTTCAGTCGTTTTTCATTTGTAACACCATCTTCCCTGATGATGGATCTAAGATCCGAAAGCTCGGAAAATAATAAATATATGTAGATAAAACAACAACTGAAGAGTGTGTCCACGATAGGATCTGGCAAGGGTTGCTACATGGGGGTTCACCGATTTTGCTGAAACTTGGTACAAATGTAGGTCTTGGTGGGTTATTTACTATCCTAGAGCATTAGTCGGATCTGTCATTTTAGTGGTAAGTTGGGTACCCCCCAATTAAAACCTTTTATTTTGACAGCTACCATATCTTAGTCAATGAAATGGTTAGGGATTCCGGGAAGCAGGTGTTTGTGAAATATGTCACGACATTCAGTAACGCTAGAGTATTTGGAAGTAAAAAAGTTGAAAAAATGCGTGTTAATTATTGATGTTAGTGAATTTTTTTGGCAAAAAAATTTTCGGTCCCTTTTCTATGGACTGTACTCTTATTCAACATGGAATGGCGTCAACATATAATCCAAACTCGTTGCATCCCTTGTTTCACTGGAGTCAAATTGCCCAGCGATAAAGCAGAAAATATCCTATTAACGAATAGCGTTTTCTACGGATGTCATCACAATTGAGCTTCATGGGATTGAAATGGGTACAAGCCAAGCTAAACGTGCTTGCTAATATGTTGCAACGATGTTTTGTTGTTTCTAAATCGTAGAAAAACTATGGTTTCATGGCTTATTAATTTTCTTTTTTTTTTTTTTTGTAAACGATTACTTTCTTACGAATTTTCTCAGCAATTCGATCCCACAAGGCTTTGCGATATCTATTTTAGGCAACCGTGAAAAACGCTACCTAGTGAAGTAATAAAACAAGATATTACAATAGCGTTACACAGCTATTAATACATTTTATTATTCGTCAGTAATATTCTTTTCTTGTTAATTTCATCATATTTGCACGACATTCTCGACTTATTTCATTTATAAACAATGGTCAATTTGCACTCAGTAGTTTTCCTTCAAATGTAGTAATGTATGGTGGTTCAGCAACCGATTCTTMTTTTTGCGAAACATCCTGTTAAAAACAATGGACTAGAGTTATAACAAATAGCAGTTTTGAAAATAATATATTTTATATATAACACTCCTATTAACCCTATTTGGCTAGCTATACTAGGGACTAGAAATATGGGAAATGTACAACGACCTCCCATAATATAATAGCAAGCTTTTCTCCCTTTCCATCCATCTTTCTGCTCAATCATTTTTTTTTTCTAATTGCCACAATTTTTGTAACTAACTAGTCGAATAGTCCCCTTCACGGTTCCATTCGCCATCTTGAAAGGTAACCGTGCCTTTGCATCGAAGCGAGACGAAGCTCACCGTTCGTCTCGCTTCGATGCAAAGGCACGGCTACCTTCATGATGGCGCAGGGAACTGTGAGAAAGACTATTGGATAAAGTTCAGTGCATTAGAGATTTGCATTGGGCTCATGCTCATTTTGTAGCGAACGATAACATTAATTTTGGCTAATTTTCAACCAAAATTCTTTTTTTTCTTTCTTCTGCATAGTTGCTTAAAGAGTAAAAACGGAAAATTGTTTCAAGATGATTGGAAATTTCCAAACTGAGTAGCAGTTACTATTCCAATAGTTAAAAAACATTGCCTTCACCTATAGACCAAATTCAAAACTCGCACCGATGTGAGGCTTAAGTTGTGAACAAAGGGATCTGGCGTGACTCAAAGTAATCTGGCGTGATTCAAATTGTCACGAATCACGCCAGATTCCTTTGTTCACAACTTAAGCCTCACATCGGTGCGAGTTTTGAATTTGGTCTATTGCACTCACTCTGCTGTTCATTTTAAAAAGGGTCACAACGATATGGAATTTTTTCCAACTTTCTTGGATTGTACGTTTTTCCGGTGATATTTTTCTGTGCTGACATAATTTACATATAAACCACAATACATTTCGGCCAATCAAACTTGAGCATTTTTTGAGTATATAAATATGAGCAAACTAAAATATTTGGTCTATGCAGTTGCTTCGAGAAAGTCAAATTAAATCGATAGCCTTTTTCTGCCCTTATATTTGATATTTCAATTACAAACCTTAAATATTCTGCAAGTCAGCATCATCTTCATCGACATCCCTTGGTCTGGGATTATAGCACTTTTTAACGCTATAGGCACGTTCAACGGCAACATTAATCTTGGTCTGTCTGCGGACCATAGAGAGAATACTTGCAGCGGCCCTCTGTACTGCAGCTTCGCGATTTTTCATATCAACACCTAATCTCACCATGTCTGCAATCATGTCTGTTGAAAAAAWAAAAWAWAWAAATAAATAAATAAAGTACCTCATTCGAACCATTTACTCCTTGGATATCATGTCATGCAATTGACGTTTAGGAAACACAGTCTCCGTGTGGAATCATGTTGGTATGTTTATAGTTAATCATTAGCATGTTTGCCAGATTTTTTAAATTGTTACCAATGTGAAAATTCAATGGTTTTAATTTACTTACCAATGATCATGGATGACTCGACTTTAGCCATTTTTATCGACTGTTGGAATGCTAGTATGTACTAAATAGATGAATTGAAAACAGCAATCACTGAAAAATTGAATACCAACCCAGATTCACAGGGAGCCCAATTTAGTAAGTGAGATAAAATTGAGGGAATTCGAAAATGAATATTTTTTTCCAATATGTGGTCAAAATAATTTCCTCCAAAATACAAAAGAGTAAAAAAGTCAATAAAAATGCATCACCACATTCTTAGGGCGCGCCTTTATTTTCCTATATAATTCCCCCGCCATTGGTATGCAACATTTAATGGTGCGTCRTGGGATGGAAATGCGGACATGTCCAGCTCAGCGCACATGCTAATATTTTCCAATGATGTTTTGTTGTCTTGATATTAATCTTTCTTTTCATTGTAACCGAAGCCGTTGGTTACAATTTGTGTCAGCAAATCAATCCCACAAGTCTTGGCGATATATATTTCAAGTAACAGTGGAAAATGTCAATAAAATATCTATTCTTTTCATTTGTAATGCTTCATAATTAAACCGATACAGGTCAACATAGCTTTGTTCAACTCTATTTAGTTTTCTTTTGTACTTTGGCGCAAAGTTTTGATCCATACTTTCAATGGAAGAGCAGTCCTAGCCTTTGATTGTCAGCGCAATATTTCACAGTATATATAGTTTATAATAAAAGTCAGGCTTCCGTGACTGAACCACATGCATGTAGTATCTGATCAATATTACTTTTTGGAAATAGAGTAATTGATAAAAAACTTACGATTTTAGCTGTCTGAACTCCAAGCTTGACAAAAGGACCTGAAGGAAATTTAAATATTTAAAACATCTGAATGCATTGGCCAAGAATAATTAGTATAATCGGAAATGTGCATCTTGTTACGTTGAGATTATCCTTGAAGTTTGGGGGCAACGTACTTTGGCGTAACTACGTTAATTGTTGTGATTGAAATTTAAAAAAATTGTTTTTGCCATGCTTTGAATAATTTAGTTTCTGTCTTTGTTCTTATCACTCTTCTAAGCACAAGTATCGACCTCCTTGCACTCATAACCTCCTTCATTAGATTGATATGACATTTAAGGTATAAAATATATTTTCGTCCAAAAGAAAATAAAGTTGAACAGCAGAACATTCTTTTTTTTTTTTTTTTTTNNNTTTTTCCTTTTTCTTTTTCTTTATATATATATACGTACAAGTAACAATTAGAACTTTCGTCTATTAGATCTTTATATGTTTACTTTATTACACGTAATCCCTCAAGAGCAAACGAGACCAGAGCATTTCAGCAATGTCCAATCTACTAACCAACTGACCATGTTCTTAATACTTACAACTTACCATCAGGGATTCCATCACTGACACGGAACTGGTTGAAGTTTTTGAGAATATAACCAACGATCGATTTTGCTTTCTTGGAGTGCTCGTCGAATTCTCTCTTGACTTCAACAATGCTGTCATTGCCAGATTTTAAGTCAAATAGACCTATAGACAGATAATATGTCAAGAAATCAATTCCAAATTAAAATTACTCGTAATATAGAGAAACTCGACCATCTCGCGTTTCCGAACAGTCTGATTTCGGGGATGTAAGAATCGCTGTCGAAGGTATTGCGTGCCGGCCTGAAAGCGAGCCACTTTCGAGCAAAAATATTTAATAAAACAAAGCCCTTTGCCTGAAATTTTCTTCCACTCCTTCTCGCGCGCTTGCGGTAGTTTCGACAGCGATCACATTCTCGGCATTTTTGACCCACAATCCTGTGCGTCCTGGACTCGTTACCAGTCTTCATTTAACTTTATAAAAGGCAAACTAAGATTGATAAACGTCTTGACCTACCGCTACTCGCTGCGTGGATGAAGATACTAGCGAACCTGCGGTTAACGGCAATGAAGTATTCTCCCACAAGGTGTTTGGCTTGAAAGATGTTGTTGTTTTTCACAGCTTTATCTACCTTCTTTATCATATCTGATCAGTACATTTAAAGTTAATGCAGTTAGCAAATGCAAATGCTTGAGATGGTACTAAATAAAAGTTACAGATAGATTATTATTATCATCAATACTTGCCTATAAAATCTTCTAGCAGAAGTTTGCCGTACTTCATTAGTGGTTTGGACAGGCCAATAGTCTAAACCAAACGAAAGCGAATTGAAAAAAGGCTGTAGCAAGCCTTGAAAAATTAGAGGGGGGACCATGTCACAACACGTGATCACAAAAATCCATATTTAATTCCATAGACATCACTTATTGTTACTGTTTTGGGGAAACAGAGGGCAAGGGCCTCCCGGCCGCTATGGCGCTATAGCCCTGAGTAGTAGACATTACTTGGAACACTCATTTTTTTAAAATCTGTCTTTAAGCCGAAAAAAGGACTTACCGCTTTCTTGACTTCGAAAAGCTAAAAACGAATATATAAAACTCATGTTAGTTTATTTTAGCGAAGAAAAGCGAAGATCATTAAGCTCTACTCACTCGAAAACAGTAACGTGCACATTGATTAGATCTGTGGTCACGCTTTTTACTGTCATYCAATAAGCCTTTTCATAGTTTAAGAATCGACTCCACTGCGCATGCGATTTTATCCCGAATTTCTCACCTTCTTTTGTTTAATTAAGAACAAAAGAAGGTTTAGACAAAAGAAGGTGAGAAATTCGGGATAAAATCGCATGCGCAGTGGAGTCGATTCTTAAACTATGAAAAGGCTTATTATTTGGTTTATTATTTCAGCTCAACAAAGTCTCAACAAAATCTCAAAAGTACATATTTTCTGAAAGGTTATGCAACAAAGATTGCGTATGTAATAGTAATTAATGGTTTTATATATATTTCATTTTTTGAAGAAACATACAGCGTAAATCCTAGATTCCGTATTCTCGTTAAACGATGCTTATGCTACACATACTCACGTATACTTTTCTTAAAATTCTTGAATAAGGGACTAACATGAAGACTAAAGAAATGCCACAAATTTCATTGAGAAAAAGTCTGATTTCTTTTGTATTTTTAGGTTAGCCTAACATTCAAGATACTTTCGAAAAGAACCATCGATCGACGAGGCCGAATCAAATGTTGAGCGTATTATGCAGAAATTTGTTTTCTCAAAGTATGTATACACTTTGGCTTTTCAGTGTCCATTATTTTTCTATCCAAGTTCAAATTTCAAAATTTTGCGCCGTTCTACGTTTGAAATTCACACAGCATTTTTGGGGAAGTAATTCCAAACTTAATATTTAATACGACCCACCTTTGACACCAGCTCTTTTCCTGGCTGTTCGTATTTCACTGGGAGAGAGAGATTTCTATGTTTTAGTAGTAAATTCTGCTACAGGATGACATGTAAAGAAGTTCTTGATATACTAAGAGTTTAATAACTTACGATCAGGATTATTCTCAGATTTGGCCGAGGTGAACAAGAATTTAATGAACTTGATCATCAAAGATTGGTTGTCTTGTTTCCCTGTTGGTTTACCAGTACGTCGTACCTGACCAGGAAATGTCGTTGGTATACTAAACTTGCGACGAGTAGATGGTTGACTGAATGGTTTGGGAGATGCTGCTGGTGTTGGTAAGGCATCGTCGTATTCGTTGTTTTCTAAAATAAATGAACTAAAATATGTCAACTGAGAGATATGCCAACCAAGTTTGTTACAATAGGATTTAGCGAATTAAGCCATAAATAAGAACTGACTAGTGATATTTCAATAAAACGAGAAAGGGTTTCCTTAACTAGAACTAGCTAATAAACGAGGGAAAACAAGCAAAAAACTCACCCAAGCCATCTAAGATAGCATCAAAATTTTTCTTGTTCAATAGCGGCACTAGCAAAGCCAAAGACAAGCAGTAGAACTAGTAAAGACTTCATCTTTAGAACTTAGTTTACTGGCCTATTGGAAACTGCTTCTTCATGAGTAAGTAAAGACTGTATTGCTCAGGTTAATGTGTTTATACATGCAAGCTAAACAAAAGAATACTCTAAATATGGTAAATTGACAAGTTGAACACAATAAGGCTTAAAATAATTTCAATGAATTGGAGTCTGAATCAGACTGGTATGAAGTGTTGTGCTAAGGAGTGTCAGTTGATGAAACTGTGTGTATCATTTTATGATCAATATTAAAGGTTTTGCATTGCAACATGCTGATGGCATATATTGGGCACGTTTTTTATTTCATTTTAAGTGCGTTTCATTCAATTAACACTCAGTTATTTAGTAATAAAAGGATTTTTTTCTAAATTGCAGCACCTTAAAATTATTCTTATTTCTATACGCCCACTCCATGGTTATTTTCCCAGGACTATAGTCTGTTTCACTAAATTCGTTGGCCGTTACAACGGTAAGCTCAGTTGCTCCTTTGCGTCCGCGAAGCAGAAAACGGCTATTTAGAGAACTGAAAACCTATCCAGATTTGAAATCTTTTTCAAGATAACTATAGTACTTATAGTCCTCTGATATATATTTTCTAAATTATTTATTCCTTTTAAAATCACTGATTGAGAAAATATTTTTGCCAGGAAAGAAAATACCCGCTAAACATGAATGTAACAAGAATGATAAGAATGATTTTTTTTTACAGTCATAAAATATGCTGCTTGAGCTTACGACTTGTCAATTTCCAGTCATAATCCCCGGGACAAATTAGCCAATCAGTGCGGGGGATTTTCAACTAAAGAGGAGAATAATCAATTTTATGAATTCTTATCGGAAAATATTTCATAGCAATGCATGATAATACTCATCATAAAGCTCGTGTTCTGGTATCGTGACCCGTCAAGTTCCTTAAATTTGGATGCGCACGCAACATTAAGAAAACGATCCATTATTGAGCAAAATGCGGCATAGAATCGAATAGGAAAAAAATTGTTAAAAACAAAAGACACGTGGTGGTAGAACTGTACAGAGTTAAAAAAGAAAATGCTTATTAATATTCAGTTAATTTCCAATCTAATGAGAAATCCCTACTTTACAAATCACTCACCAATATGCATTTGAATAAACACGTATTATTTTCACACACACACACACACACAATGGTATGCAGATTGTGCTATCAAGTCAAGTCAAGTTTATTTCACACACAAAAATTACAATAGGAAAAAAAATGAATATTGATATAGAGTTAAACAGTTACGAAATTTCGCGCTATATCCAAAAGCGTTCTCACTGGCAATAATTCTAATTTCAAACACAGTGATAACAAGAGGATAAAATAAGACTAGCCTATTTGTCTCAATTTATGCATTTAGCGGGTGTGATTCTTTTCTGGCGAAATTATTTTCTCACAAGAATCAGTGCAGATTTTTGAAGCAAGGAGATTTCACCTAAAAAAATAAACTAGATGTCTATTTGTACTAAAGCTATTTGACAAAATATTACAATCTACAATCAATCTATACTACTTTTATCCTTCAAATTATTTTTAATCCAAGCACTAGGGTTAATCCAAGCGCCCCCCCCCCCCCCCTTCCCCCCCACACACACACACCACACACGCAAACACACAAACACACACGCAAACACACAAACACACAAACATTCTCTGGGGTCCCCATCTCCCAATAACTAAACAAAGGCAATTTTACAAAAATCTAACAGCTTTATTGAATTCAGTCACAATAGCCAGCCAATATAATGTGTACTTCTGGCAGAACATACTGAGAAAAAATTTGGATGAAACACTGAATTAAATGAGAAACGCTCACTAAATGCAAAAACTTCTAAAGTTTTTAAGGCAGACCCGTATAATATGTACTTTTTGAGGAACATGACAAATCGTGACTTTGCTAAGAAAGCGTCGTGACTACATTTTGCATTTTATCTGCTTTGAATTATTCTTTAAAAAATATGTCGAAAATCGAGTCACAGCTCGAGTCCCAACTCAGATCCTGACTTGGTATTTCGGTACCCTCAAATACTTCTTTTTATACTTCTCAATTTGTTGTTGTAATATTCATGATTATGAGTTCTGAAGTACGAGCTACATGTAGGGAAGATTTATCTTCAGCTGCAAATTAATTAGGAAGGGAGACAAAGTTAAACACTTTTAATATTTATGTAAAGTTTCTGTTGAGCCCGTTTCGGATTCCTTGAACTTGTGTATCGCATACAGTTTTCCCTCACCGGCTGCCGTTTTCCATATTCTGCGAAGTCGGTAGTTGCGAGCTGCACAAAGTTTTTGCTGCCGTCAATCAAAATAATCAGTCGATATCATTCATGTTATTGAATGGCGGCAGTGATATACCAATTTCGCAATAAGCCGTTGAAATGTCGGAGTTCGAAAAATACAGTCAATTCAAAAACGTTGTCGTCGACCAACTCAAGCCTACGCGACTGGACCAAAAGGAACTCTGGGTAGCAATCAATGAAGCCGAGTTGACTCCATAATTTTATCCGACTAGTTATGCCTGGTTTACAGCACGAACCTTCGTAGGCGAGCGGGAAGTGTTGAAGGAGACTTTTATTTAATGCCTTCATATTTTCAAAATTGTGAACTGAATCATAACTACTTTGTTTTTATTTCCCAAAACCCAAAAGCCATGCATTTGATGGATTGTTTCTCGCCATTATTATCTTTACTACTAGCGGGAACAATTAATTCAGAACGAATATTTAACCGCTTCAGTGATTTTTACCCATATTCCTTTCGGTCAAGTCGCGTAGGGCTTGAGCCGGTCGACGACAACGTTTTTTGAATTGACTGTATGGAAAATCGCGGTAATCATTGCATGTTCGGCTTCCGACCGCGTACAGAACAAACAGTTTGAACAAACAACAACAACAAAAACAAAAAACAAAACAAAACAAAAAAAAAAAAACAACAGTATTTAAGACTCAGCTGTAAAGTGAAATTCTTAATTATCAATTATTATTCATTTGAATTTATCAACTTGAACAAGAAAGACACCAGTACTATAGTGCTTGGTTGTACAGATGTTGGCTTGAGAACGACCACAGTATACATGTCAGTAAGTAAGTCTTTTATGTAGTAAAAGTCAGTAAGTAAGTCTTTTATGTAGTTTTCATGCCTTATGTCAAGGCCCTAAAACCCTGAACGTATACTGACGTAATATTACTAAGTCCCTTTCTTCTATATAAAGTGATCCATAAAACAACTGCTAGATAGAAAAGTAAAAAAAGGTCACTCAACCGTGCATTGCTTTTAACCTTGTCTTTTTTCTTGTGTTAATAATAAAATGAATAAAAAGCTTGGCAATTCCTTCTGCCTATCATAAATATCTTATACTCATTTCCCAAAAAAAGGAAAATGTGTCTATTTATTTAACCAGCCGGCGTTGATGAGGACGGTTTTCGTAAAATGATTTGCAGTGGAATAGCATAATAGTGCGAAATCCTTCTTAGTAATCATAAACATTGCCATACGAGTCTATAAGATCAACTTATTATATCTTCTCCTGTAGGAATATAGAATGGTATAATCCAGATTTAATGGAGTTTTAGGTTTACCGGAACTGTACTGAATTGAAGTTGAAAATTGTTTTATTTCTTTTAAGATAATTCATGAATCCAGTCGTATTGAGCCTGATTTAAAGAGATATTTACAATTGCATACGTTGCCTAAATATATTGTAATGTTCAGTGTGGGCCAACAAATATGTAGCAGATTTGACTCGAACATGCACCACAGTCGTACATTGAAATAATTATGGCGGCAGCTGCATGGAAGTACAAAGGAAAATGATAATGAAAATGAAAAATTGTCCTCATTTTTTTAAAAAATTTATAATAGTTCATAAAGCCTGTTTGTTGGACTAGATTATACCCCAAGATCTAGAACACATTTCTGTATTTTCTAGATTATATTTATCCAATCCCCAGATTACGTTGGATTAACTGTTTACAGCTGTGAACTACAATCTAGGTCAAACGAACATTTTTCAATTTGTGTTTTTTTCTCATTTTTTAATGAATATATTCTAAAACATCAGTCCGCATTTGCTTTACTCAAAACATGATATAACTCGATGAAAGGCCCTATTCTAAGCACGGACACCCAACATACTGTTTTCCTCCTTATGGTAATACGTTCAATGAAGTTTTTTTTAGTGCATCAAAACTGATGTCACTCATACTGGGTACACAGTTCCTGTAAGTAAAAGGACAAATTTAACAGCTGTTTATATGTACGGTATTCATATTTTTATCAACCTATAGTTGTTACGCGACAAGCTACGATTATCACAAATGGTAGTCATTTCTCGTTGGGTTGTAGCAAAAACAGAAACTATTATGTGCCTAATGAAAGTCATTATTTTTACTAAAACATATTTTTTTGGATAAAATTAGCCCTGCTCAGTCGAAGTTCATAGAAATTGCAAATAAGGTAAGCACTTTTTGAAAAGCGGTTAGAATTTAAATATTTGTCCTCTTTTTGTTTTGGTTTAGTTTACATTAAAAAAAAGTAGTTTACATTACATTTTAGTTTAAATTCAAAAAAGGTTGGTTAAAGTTTTGTAGCATATGGCAAGATAGGTGTCCAATTTTTTTCCAAACCAGGGGCTTTTGAATAAAGCTGAAAGCTAATAAGAACATAGAGAAGTGTGATATGAAGGAGGATAAAAATGCGAACCTATAGCTCACAAGGCCGTGCACAAACCATCTGAGCTACGCCTGCATGATGCTACATTTTGCCGTACTATTGCACTGCATATTGTTTACCAAGCTTAAAACGTAACACCACAAAATATATATATTAGGGTAAAAAACGTGGAGATAAGATTCTAAATCTCTAATATCATCTAGGAAGTCCTCGAACAACAACTTGCAATTACTGATTAACTGTATGAAAGCTAAAATGTTTTAAAAATAATTTCCCTGACATTCTAAAAGATTAAATTAYCGACTTTTTCTCGCATTTTTTGTTCACACGGAAAGCTTCATAATTATAAATAAAAATTTATGTTTCACTCCATTTTCTTAGTAAACATGATTATTCTCACCAAATTTGATTAAATTACAGATGTTAAGTTAGCTCAGAAATAGTTGGAATATTCTGGGCCAAGTGAAGTAGCCTAAAGCAAAAA